CCGCCACAAAATAACAGTCGGGGGCCGTCGGGAACCCAGGCCCACCTCTACCGGGATGGAGACACCTGTCCTTTCAGCCCCCTCATCAGAATCACTTGCGGGTACTCATCGAGCTGACCCGACTTTAGTCACCATCTGTATAGTATGTATGTATGTATAGTATATAGCCGTGATCACCTCCCGAGTGATCACGGCCCAATAGTATAGCAAGGCAGACTGACAAGAATGTAGGGCCAATGATGATAAACTAGCATCCTATACTAAGTATTTAGGATTGCAGGTAAGGTATCAACAGATGTAGCAACAATGTCAGGCTATGCATCAGAATAGGATTAACGAAAAGCAGTAACATGCTACACTACTCTAATGCAAGCAGTATAGAGGAGAATAGGCGATATCTGGTGATCAGGGGGGGCTTGCCTGGTTGCTCTGGCAAGAGAGAGGGGTCGTCAACTCCGTAGTCGAACTGGGGCATCAGCATCGTCACGGGGTCTACCGAAGAGAAGAGGGGGGAGAAACAGTAAATACATAGCAAGCAAGTGCATAACAGGATAACAGGCAGAGCTAGACGTGTTCTAACGCGGTATGAGGTGATACCGGTGAAGGGGGGAAGCATCCGGGAAGTATTCCCGGGGTTCCGTGTTTTCGGTCAGATGAACCGAGGTGAAATGTTGCAGGTTCACTATGCTAGGGACGCGTGGCGGATGAACGGGCTGCGTATCTGGATTCGTCTCGTCGTTCTGAGCAACTTTCAGGTACAAAGTTTTTCCATCCGAGTTACGGGTTATCTTATATCAATTTCTAAAGTTTTAATTCATTTTCTAAATTATTTTAATTCAATTTAAGTAGTAAAAGCTATGTGTACACAGCAGAAGCCAGCCACAGCCTATGACATGTGGGGCCAGCGGACCCTGTTGACCAAGTCAACGGTTGACTGGTCAAAGGTGTGAATAGGGCGTGTGAGACCCACATGTAATTGTCACAATTTAATTAAAATAGGCTTAAACACCTAAGCTAGTTAATTAGGTCAAATTAAGCAAGGTTAATTAATTAAACCAATTATATTACTAATTAATTAATTCACTTTACTATTTCCTTTTATTTTCCATTTTCGTTTTCCTCTACTCTTTTCTATTTATCTGATTTACAGGGGGGGACCCACCTGTAAGTGGCTCAGGCCACCTCCCTTCTATGCACGAACGCGCACAGGGAAGGGCAGGGGCGCGGTGGCCGAACCAGGCTCCGGTGAGGCCATGGTCGAGGCCGGCAGGACGAAGACGTGGGGCGGCGGGCGCGCGCCTGCAGTGGAGCGGCGCCGGGGGTGCTCGGTCGGAAGCAACAGAGGGTGCGACCGGGGACGGTCGCGGGGGCAAGCGCTCACAGGGAGGTTAGCGGGCGCGGGTGCCAGCGCGCTCCGGCAGAGCGCGGGCGCGGCCAGGTGGAGGCGGGTGCGTCTTGAGGCCGTACGGGGCAGGCGCGGGCGGAGGCGTCGAGGGCACGGGGCGGCCGGTGTGGTGTGGCGCCGTGAGGTCAGGCGGGGACGCGGCCGGGCGAGGGAGAGAGAGGAGAGGAGGGGCTCACGATGGCAGTAGGGATTTCGGGCAGCGGGCTCGACGGAGTTCGGGGAAGTCCGACGAGGGAGATCCGGCGAGGACGACGAGGCGACGGCGATGTAGCTCCGGGAGGGGTCCCACGGCGGCGGCGCGGGCTCCAGGCAGCGTCCGCGAGGCGACAAGGCGATGGGGTCGGGGCACCGTTTTCGGTGGCGAGCGCCCCCGATCCAGATCCACGCGGGGGGAAGGGGAAAGAGATCGGGGGGATCGTGGGGGGGATGTGGGGTGCGGCTAGGGTTTCGGTCGGGTGGACCGTGGGGTTAATGGGGGAGTGGGTGGCCGATTGGGCCGGCCAGGCGGCCTAGTGGCCAGCTGGGCCACGGTCCAGCAGGGAGGGGTTCCCTCACTTTGCCTTTTTTCGTATTGTTTTGTTTTCTGTTTTTATTATTTTATTTCTTTACTGTTTTATTTTAGTTGCACTTTATTTTTGGTTTAGTAAAATATGAAAATAGCCCCAAAAATAGTGTGTCAAAATAATCCACTGTTCTAAGAAGTTTTACCTCAGAATAAAAATAGTTTAGTATTTGGTAAAATATATTAGGAGTATAACTAATTGTTTTGATGTTGTTTTAATTACTTTAGTGTATTTTAATATCTTATAAAGATGTTGTTCCCCATCAATAATATCCATGATTTATTTGTCACATTAAGAACATTTTAGTTTTGACTTTTGAAAACTTTAATTGTTTGACTTGATTTTAAATTTGAATTTGAATCGTTTTTGAACCATCGCGAGATTAACAACAGTAACCGAGGTTACGTGGCATCGTTAGCGTGGAATTACTGTAGCCTAAATATCCGGGCGTCACAACCTTGATGATGATCTCACCACACTATATTGTATTTGTACGGGCCTAGCATACTGTTACATTGCAAGAGAAACATAGTTCAGTTTTCTTCAAGGCATTTCCATTACCAGCGTATTCAAATTTTATTATTGTTTGCTTTACGATTTTTGAACCCCATGCCTCTATTCCCGCTTGCCTCTGTGCATGGCTGCCTCCCACCATTCCTAACCACAACCATTTGCTGACAAACCGTAATCCACCCCCGAAGATGGAGACAATGTTTTTTTTAACAATAGATGGAGACAATGTTATCACGCATCGCGAGGAATTTGACGTCTTTGGCACTGCCAAATATTAGTAGTACGTTAATACTCCCTGTGGTTCTTTTAGTCTGTATATAAGTTTTGTCCAAAATCCAAAATCAAAGTATCTCTATTTTCCTTTCAGAAAACATATCTCTACTTTAACCAAACATATAGAAAAAAATATTAATATTCGCAATGCCAAATCAATATTGTTACTATCACGCACAGCACGCATCGCGAGGAATTTGACGTCAGTACTCAGAGGCTCATCGACCAAGATTTGGGACGGCCAAATATTACTACTATGTTAGATAATATCCATACACGCCATGCAACTGCAATCAATCAACCCGGCTGAAGGAACATATAGGTGGCAGCCGCTTTTCAATTGCCATCATGCTCTCCCTGGCATGTTGAAAAATCGATCGCCTCCCTTTTCATCTTGACCTTGTCGAAGGGGATGATGATTGAGATAACAATCGTCTCGCAATTAACTATGGCGATAACCACCCGTGTGGCCGGTCGCGCGCCACAGCGCCGTTGCGCAAATCCGGCGCCGATGCTGCTTAAGAGTTAAGACACACACAATTGCTAGGAACCAAGGTGAAATCCCGTGCAAAATCCCGTGGCCGGAGTCAGCCTACCACGTGACGGCCGCGGCCAGTCAGACGTCTCCAGCAGGGACGCCCCCTAAATTCTGCGAGACGGAAGCGCGGCCGTCCCCATCGTTGGGCTCATCCGTTTTACTGTCACCGTGCCGGCCCGACCCGCCAGGGAGCATTGCGCGCGAAGCCGCCCACGCTGATCGTTTTGGGTGGCTATATATCTGTCATTCCCTCAAAAAAAAAAGGCTATATATCTGTCTGTATCGGCAAAGCTGGCGCCCGAAACACACGCGGGCACGGGCGCGGCAACGTGCAGTCGAGTCTGGTAAGCCGCTACTGGTAGTATAGAGACGAGCGAGGCGACGGCGACCGGCTTCTACTGCGCGCCCGCGGTGCGGTGTCGTCTAGCCTTCTTTTCGTCCTCTTTTATGCAGGAGGGCCGAGTGGAAACGCCTCGCCTCCTCTTTCCATCCTTCCTCTTCGTCCTCTGCCCCGCATTTCCATAGTCGTCTCCTCAAGCAGCCACCCACTGGAGTCCAGAGACGGCATCAAGCATGGAAGGCAGAAGGTGGCAGATGGATGCTGCTGCTATGATCTTCGGGCTCCTACACGGCGCCTTCCTCTTCCAATTGGCAAGTAAGCTCCCGGTACCGTTTAGCTCCCTGGTTTTCCTACCTGGCTTACGAGTTAGTACTTTACTTTTGACTTAAACTGTTCCATTCGAGAGAAGAAAAAAATTACTTCTGACTTGAGCTGTATGCGGAAATGTTCTGCGTATGCTTCAATGCTTGCTCTTCTGATTGTGACAAGAAAAGGCGGAAATAAGATGGGAGTGTATGGCTTAACATCGAATAGCGTCACTAATTCCTACATAATCAAGCGTGCCGGCAAGAATTTACAGCACCATTCAGCTGCTTTCTTTGTTGTCTGCCTTTGTTCTTGTTTGTCAAGTAAGCTGCATTGAGTTACTTTGTTTGCCGAAACAAGTAGTGCTATTTACATACTACACGTGGCAAGTCACTGAAGTTTCTTCAGGTTATTACGGAAATGGTGATGGCGCAGCTACGCTAACCTAAAGTAGGACGGATCTCATGAGACCTTGCCTTCTTACTCATCAGATCAAATGAACTTTCCTCAACGGTAGAGAAATACGGAGTACTATAAGGGAGGGTAATTGGAGTTCCTTCCTCCTTGAATGCGATTTTTCTTCTGTCGTCTTGATCATAGTGTATTTCCCAACGCCCAGATAGAGAAAGGAGTTACTTTTGGGTATGCTGTCAAAGACGATGCTCGATAAAAATCATGATCCCGACCGATCGTGGTGCAGAACGGAGCACGGCACCTTAACTGTACTACATTGGTAGTACTGCTGTATGTATCAGGGGAAGCTGATGTGCTGAAAGTAAGTGATGATGTGAGTAGCTCCTAAGCAACCTCACATGCACGTTGTGTTGGCTAGCGAGATTGGCACGAAGTGACTTTGACTGCTGTCCGAACGCTCACCCAACCCAACCGGTTGGTCATGGGATCTAGTGGTGGGAGTATCAAATTATGAAGGATGCGTGCGAATCAACAAGGCATGGACAGAGGAAGGTCCGGCACCTAAACCCCGAGTGACAGATCATGGTGTCCAAACTGTACAACGAATGGCGTGTACCGTTGCTACCTAGCCTAGGTATATTTGCATGCATGTGGGCAGCCCAACAATACAAAATTCCGATGAGCATATACAATTACAGATATGCTCCGGCCGGCTCGGTTGCATTCCAAAAGTTTGCATGTTAAGACATACTCCCAACGATCAAATATGCAAGTAGCCAAATATGCATTCTAAATTTCTAACTCGCCATTTGGACGTGTTCAATGTTCACAGCGTCGCAGTCGTTCATCGGGGTCAACTACGGGACGATCGCGGACAACCTGTCGCCAGCGGCGTCGACGGCCAGCCTGCTCACGTCGACGTCCATCGGCAAGCTCCGCCTCTACGAGCCGCAGCAGGACCTCGTCGCGGCGCTCGCGGGCTCCAACATCTCCATCCTCCTGGGCGTCCCCAACTCCGACGTCCCGAGCCTCGCCGCCTCACCGGCCGCCGCGGCGTCGTGGGCCGCGGCGAACATCCCCACCATGGTGTCCGTCTCCGCCATCTCCGTCGGCAACGAGCTCCTCAACTCCGGCGACCCCACGCTCGGCCCGCAGCTCCTCCCAGCCATGCAGAACCTCCTCGCCGCGCTCCCCGCAGGCTCAACCACCAAGGCACGTTCGTCACATGCACGTTACTGCCTAGCTAAAACGGTGGTCCTTGAATCTTGAACGAGATTATATTTGCATTGGCCGAAGAACAGATCTCGACGGTGCATTCGATGGCGGTGCTGGCGGCGTCGGACCCGCCGTCCTCCGGCGCGTTCCACATGGACCTCGCCGGCAGCCTGGACCCGGTGCTGGACTTCCTGCGGCAGAACGGCTCGCCGTTCATGATCAACCCGTACCCGTATTTCGCGTACGCGTCGGACACGCGGGACGAGACGCTGGCCTTCTGCCTGTTCCAGCCCAACCCGGGCCGCGTGGACGCCGGGTCGGGGCTGAACTACATGAACATGTTCGACGCGCAGCTGGATGCCGTCCGGGCGGCGCTGGACGGCAAGGGGTACGCGGGCGTGGACATCGTCATCGCCGAGACCGGGTGGCCGTACAGGGGGGACGCCGACGAGGCCGGCGCCACGCCGGACAACGCCAGGGCGTACAACGGCAACCTCGTGGCGCACCTCAGGTCGCAGGTGGGCACGCCGCGGACGCCCGGCAGGTCGGTGGACACGTACCTCTTCGCGCTCTACGACGAGGACCTCAAGCCCGGGCCCGTGTCGGAGCGGTCGTTCGGGCTGTACCAGGCCGACCTCACGGCCAACTACGACATCGGTCTCGCCAAAGGCAGCGCCAGCCCCAGCACGTCCGGCCAGATCGGCGTCACCGCAACTCCGGCGCAGGTGCTCGCCTCGGCCTAGCCTGCGGCTTTTGTTCAATGGAATGGACGGCGCTGACGCTCTTCTACTATTTTGCAGGCTGCGCCGCAGGCCGGGAGGGGGGCGACGCCGGCAGGGTACTGTGTGACGACGAGCACCGTGCCGGGGAACACGCAGCAGGTGCAGCAGCAGAGCAGCTCGTGCTACGTCCCGGGAACAGCAGCATCGCCGAAAGGTGACGCCGGCGTGCTGCTGCTTGTCTTGTTTGGTGCTTTGCTGGGCCTGGCAATGGTGGCCGAAAGTAGATGACAGCATAGATATCATTTTCTGAATGGAAGTCGCATGACTTTTGGAACGCAGCCGTTACTCTTTGTGCATAAGAAACTGGTTGAGAACAAAGAAAAATGGCCAAACTTGCACTTGATCGATCGACGAACTAATCAGCCACCTTGCATCTCTCTACCTTAGTTAGAAGTACAAAAAATACCCATGCTGTGCTTTATCTACAAAGCTCAAGCTACTACCTATGATTAGTGTATGAACAATTTGTCTAAGCAACCACCGTCCAATTTTCCTTGCGCGCTTCAGCAAAACGCAAAATGTGGCAGCCAGCAGCAAGACGTTTTCTCTTCTTGGGTATGGCTGAGTGCTCCCTATGCAGGAGCTAGACGATCGTGCTGTTTTGGTAACCTATCTTATCGCGCAATTATGCGGACATTCTTCTGGGTCACTACTGAAAAATTCTGGCATCATCATGATTCAAGTTTGTTCCAGAGATGCAAAGCTCTTCTGATGATTTGGTCTGCCGACGATCCTTCTGCATACGCTTCCAAAGCTCGCAACAGATTTATGAATTTGGCTCCATCATCCTGGAAAGCAGGATAGCAGCGTAAGCAGGAAGCACAAAATGAACAGAATCTAGTGGTATTAACGATATATGATGCCTATGGCTTGACTCGCCTTTGGCTTCTGGAATACGAGGTCAGGGGTCTTAAAAGGAACCATGTACGATGGAAGGTCACAACGTAATATGGCCTACAACAAGAGTAACCTCGATCAAAAGAGTTCAGTTGAGGGATGATCTCATCTCTTAGCAGGCTAATATACAAAAGATGGCGGAATTCAGTATTCATGAAAGAAGACGGTTAGGAAGAAAAATTACCAGGCTTTTGCAGAGTAATGCCTGTTCTGATTGAGAGATCAAAGCCTGTAAAGGACCACAGTCAGCACAACTTCTTAACCTTTTCCTTACGAGAACAGTAGGGAAGAACTCTACTGGAATAAATTACTCGGCATTTGGGAGACCATAAGTTGACATGCTTTCCGGAGAAAATGCAATCAATAATCAAGAAGATGGTAACATATTTAAAAGTTCAGATGCCATTTTTGCATTGTTGCAGTCTGCAAATTTTGAGAACGGTCTGCTTTTACCTGTTTGATTCGCTGGTCCTCGACTTCATCCACTGATCTCAATAAGTTCTCCAACGAACCTATTCAAATTCCAATGAAAAGACAATTTTCAATCAAGGTTTCTGATAATGCCATTCCATACTTTCAAAAACTCAAAACATCAAATATATTGTAACAACAACACTGGTGAATTAGTAATGAAACATCAGTCATCTTTAACTCTGTATGTGTACAAAACCTCCTTTCAGATTGTGTACCTAGCTCGATCAGTCAATAAACTAAAACAAACATTAAAGCAATATCCTATAGGCTGCCGTCCTCAAGTGATCGATTGTTTGATACATACTCCCTCTGTATCAAAATAAAAGACGTTTTTTGACACTGTAATATTGTCAAAAAAACGTCTTATATTTTGATACAGAGGGAGTATCTAATAAGCACTCAGGAACAAAAATAGTTCGATAAAAAATAAACATACCAAACTTAGTTATTAGTTTTACTGCATTAACATCTCCAATTCCTTCAACTCCTGAAAAACAAAATGACCAGTCAAATGTCACAGTCAGCAGGTCCCCGCAATGAAAGATAGGTTATGAATTTAAATTGCA